GAGCTTGCAGCTGTTTTACCATCAACTTTGTGATATGTGAGTGCGTAAAAACTTCCAAACTCATTGTGGATAACTGAGAGAAACTTCACGTGAGTGGCAAACGATGCAAGAGGAGAGGTTGGGGGAAGATGAGAGGGGAGGAAATCAAGGGGATTCAGAAACAAGGAACAGGAGGACGAGGGTTGAGAAGGGAAATAAGATAGTGAAGATAAAACGGCAAAACAGATTGAGAGAGAAATGAAGAGGATGAGGGCTAGAGCATGATGATGACGACGACGGTGATACAGAAGTAGATCAGGAAGATTATGAGTGTATCAATGATGATGATGTTGTTGCTGCTGTAGTTGTTGTTGTTGTTGTTGTTGTTGTTGTTGTTGTTGTTGTTGTTGTTGTTGTAGCAGCAGTTGTTGTTGTTGTTGTTGTTGTTGTTGTTGGTGGTGGTGGTGGTGGTGGTGGTAGTGGTTGTGGTGAAGTAGACTTGAGGGATCATAAGAGCCAGCGCACAAGAGAACAACACAAACACAAGAGGAGACATCTGCAAGAGCAACAGGAAAAGTCTCTCTTGTCTCACTGTCCAGAACTTCGTCAAATGCCAGCTCCCATTCCACCTTGAGTGCAACTATTCCCCGCACAGGAACTTTGCACATGAGCGTCAACTTCGGCCCTTCCTCGTGTGGGTGCTGCGGGAGAATAGGTGATTTGTTGTTGGCGGAGGGGGGGGGATGAGAGGAAGAGCAGAGCAGAGCAGAGCATAGCAGAGCAGAGCAGAGCAGAGCAGAGCAGAGCAGAGCAGAGGAGCGAGGGAGGGACGGAGCGAGGAGAGAGATGTTGAGACGAGGGGCGGAAGGAGAGATAAGGAGAGTTGGAGAAGAAGCATATGGTGTGATACAAGTAGACGAGTGCGAGCCAAAGACGGAGGGAGCAAGAGGAAGAGGGAGCAAGAGGGAAAGGAAGGGAGAGGAAGGAGAGAGCAACAGGAAACCTCTCCCTCTCACCTCATCATGCTCGTCTTCGTCATCGACGACATGAGCATCCATCGCTTCATCTTCATCATCATCATCGGAGGAGGGATCAGCTTTCTCCTCGAACAATTTGGTCAAGAAGGAGCTGATCGATTCGTGAATCTCGACGCTGGTCCTGTGCACGTTCTGCCCCAGCTCCTCAGCTGCCTTGGTTATGCTGATGCGAACTTCGTCTGCAGCCTTGGACACGTTCTTCGGCGCGTTCACCACGAACTGCTCGCCGACTTTCTGCAACGGCCAAACTCAACAATCGGAGAAGACTGCTAGAGCAGACAACTGCTAGACAACAAACAGAGCAGACAACAAACAGAGCAGACAACAAACAGAGCAGACAACAAACAGAGCAGACAACTGCTAGACAACAAACAGAGCAGACAACAAACAGAGCAGACAACGACCAAGGATCAGAACGGACAAGGATCAGAGCAGACAAGGCAGAGGAGAGCTTGAGGTTACCCTGTAGTTGATCGTGCTGCTCCTGCTCATCAGTTTCTGGCGGTACGCTTCCACCCTCTCCAGGGTCCACTCCCCAACGTACAGCGAAAGCGCTTGTTCATCGAAACTCAGCAGCGACGACTTTGCGATCTCATACTTCTTCATCACGTTCTCCACTTCGTCCATGGTAACGTCCTCCTGTACATGGTTCTGCCTCAGGCACTCCTGTCGCACCTTGCTCAGTGTTTTGCACAAGCACATGTCATCGCTGCAACCTGCATGATGTTCTTCAGCTCGCTCGCCTGCAAGGTTCCATCGTTGTTGTCGTCGAACTTTTGAAACAGATCCAAGATACCTTCCAATGCCTCACAATGCAAACAACAAGTACAAGACCTTGATCGTACCGACTTTTGTTCTCTGATACTTCTCATATTCGATGAGAGCATTGAAAAGCTCTCCTTCACTGATTTTTCCATCTTTGTTTACATCCGCTATATCCCAGACCCACCTTGATATAAGACATCTCAGAAACCCAAGGGCCCTCCTCTCCCTCTCTCCCTTTGCACATTCTCGCCCTCCCTCTTTTCTCCTCCTCCTCCTCCTCCTCCCTTCAGTCTCTATCAGTTCCATCTCCATCTCCATCACTTCCATCAAGTCTCTATCAGTTCCATCTCCATCTCCATCACTTTCATCACATCCGTCGTCGTGTTGTCATCATTTTTGTCATCAGCATGATCTCCTTCCATTCTAATTCCATCGTTTCCCACTTTATCATCATCATCATCATCATCATCATCATCATCATCATCATCATCATCATCATCATCATCATCATCATCATCATCATCATCATCATCATCATCATCATCATCATCATCATCATCATCATCATCATCATCATCATCATCATCATCATCATCATCATCATCATCGTCATCATCTCACTTCAGGTGAAGTTCTGATGGTGTCTCGTGGTCCAAATGTCTCAGCAGCTCTCTCAGTCCGTCCTGCGTCAGGTGGGATCCTCTGGAGAAAAGTTTCTTCCCGTATCGCTCCAGGAGTTTTCGCACCCTCCTGTACTTGGAGTGATCAACTTTCTTGTTCTGATTCCTCGATCTCCGAAACATGCTGAAGGTCAAGTCAGCTTAGGGAACGAGTGAGGAGAAGCTCGGCCTTAGCTCCTCTCCTCTTCTCCTCTCCCCTCTCCTCTCCTCTTCTGCTCTCCCCTCCTCTCCCCTCCCCTCCCCTCCTTTCCCCTCTCCTCTCCCTCTCCTCTCCCCTCTCCTCTCCTCTCTGCTCTAACTCCCCGTCCTTCTTGCTGCATCTGATCTGAACTCACTACAAGATTCTCGCTATCTGGCTGAAAGGAGCGCTGAACAAGGCAGGGTAGGCAGGAAGAGGAGGAAACGATTACGAAGACGTCTATGATGAAGGATTTGTGTAGCATCGCGGATTGATGAGAAGGGCAAAAAGGGAAACGATGACGTCAAGGTCGACCAGAAGGAGGACAAGCAATCATCAGATGTGGCGGTAATCCCCGGCTTTCACTTACAAAGACAAGCAAGATGACTGTAATGATGAGCATGTGAGGCGTGGAGGCGTTGATGGAGGAGGAGGAGGAGGAGGAGGAGGAGGAGGTGGTGGTGGTGGTGGTGGTGGTGGTGGAGGAGGAGGAGGTGGAGGTGGAGGTGGAGGTGGAGGTGGAGGTGGAGGTGGAGGTGGATAACGAGGAGGAGGAGGAGGAGGAGGAGGAGCAAGACAGTCTCTCCTATCCTCGCCATCACTGAGGAGGAGGAGCAA